AAGACAAAAAAAAAGCTACCTTCCACCAGCACGCCAGGGTCGGCACCGGTCGGCACTGTCGTTCCTGCAGTGCTCCCTCTCCCTTGCAGCCTCGCGTGTAGCTTCCTATGTGCGCATGCGCACAGTCAACAAACACCTCGCCTTTGGAACTGTGAAACTCACAGTTCCATACAAAGATTTGGCTACTGACATTAAGCTTAAGGATTATATATTGTATTGTACAAGTATAAAGAAAGAATTAAAGGAAAAAGGACTCACAATAAATGTTATCGATAATATCAAGTGGAAATTGGGGGGGCTGCAGTTCCGCAGTGCCTATACACGGGCCGCCCCTGCGTACGAGTCTGGCTCGCGAGTACGACTCGGCTCGACTTCCAATGAGCACACACGTATGTTTGTGGGTTACCACGCTCATACGTGTGTGGTGAAATTAATCCGAGCCCAGCTCCTCGCCGAGCCGGACTCGCGAGCCAGACTCGTACGTGTATGGGCCGCCTCAGACCTATAGCAGCAATTTCCTGCAGTGTTACCCTAAAGCCAGTTTCACATCTCACAAATCTATGTTTATGTAACAATGTGTATGAAATGACTGGATATCAGAGGACTATATAAATAAGTTTCCCATAAAATTAAGTGAGAAGACAGTGTACTGTTGGTAACATCATATAAAGCCCCATAGAGTAGATAGAAAACGTGTAACATGATCTGGCGATTTAGTCCACCTTCTCCATGTGACAGACGAAGCGTACTTACAGGAACGGAGCGCTGTCCCAGTTGTAATAGAATGAAATGTATTAAAAACACAACCGAATATACTGACGTAATGTGTATCGTCCATAACTACTGACAGAACGTTTACTGACGTTTTCCAGCTTTTAAAACCCTCTCTCCAGATATATCTGTTACCAAAATCAAATCATCTCCCTGTATTTCTCTCTCTGTCAGGACATATACATACATACAATTCTTGCAAGCGTGAAATTTGTCATTATCATTACGCAATTTTCTATTACCGTAACAACGAATTTTCAAGCGTTAACACTTCGCATGGACCTAGGTCATGTAGCAGCTAAAGGAGTGTTCACTATTTGGTTCTGTGCATTGTCTCTATGCTGTGAGTACGGACAGTATGTTTATGTCAATATATGAATTGTATCATACTGTATGAAGGAGAAAGTTTGAAAGGCAAATAACGCAAAATTATCCCTCTCATTAATTAATTATGTCTTGTAGGGGAGTGGTCTTGAGGTGATAAGTATTATCCATGTAATGCAGGCGTGTAAGAAACATACACGTGTCTCTTTCTTTAGAAGCGCAGCTCACGATATATTGTGAACGACGGATAAACAAACACCACACTTCGCGTTTTAATGTAGCACAAAATATTCAAATTGTAATTTCTCGAGCACTGTACTTCTGACTTTTCAACATGGAACAAAACAACATTTAGAATCACAGTACGTAACTGCTCGTCTTACATCTCTTTTTGTGTCACGAAGCTAATGAAATGCGTTTATGGGACATTCTCGGTTACCCTAGTTAATCGCTTGGAATTTATTTGTGTTTCCCTCCACGATAAAGCAATAACAGTCGAACAAATGGCAGTCAAAAAAGCAATACAGTAGCTAGCCGTTAACAGCCTTGAATCATAAAACTCATTCTGGTAGTGACTAACAATTCAGTTATTTGAAAAGCTCTCATTCGAATCTCCTGAGCTGAATACTGGACCTCCATTCGCAAGGTCGTATTCAACACGATTTGAGATTATATTCGATTATAAGGCTGAATTTATATTTCAGAGAAGTCCACTACAGAAACCACTATAATCATATAACCTAAGTAACTCCACTCTGATAACATTAATGTGCATACCTCACGAAGCAGCTGAGCTCTTGGCCTTTTCTTCTATCAGTACCTACAGAAATATTTACGTTCCATTACGATTTCTCATGAGGATTAGACATTATACAATTTGTACGATATAAGGTTTGTACAGCGTCTGGGATATAACATAATGTAGTCCGTTGAAAGTCAACCGACGTTTCGGAGGAAGATATCTGCGTCTTCTGGGTCGAAGAATAAACCAAAGAAGAAACCAGCGTGAATAAGGTAGTAAGCAGAGCTGTTCATCCGAAATGTCCGTTGACTTTCAACGTACTACAAAGCGTTATAACCCAGAAGATAGAGACCTTCATTATAAAATTTTGTTCACAACTGGGGAAAAGTTCTAATTTTGTCTATATTATGAAGATCATTAAATGTAGACTACAAGCCTGAAATTCTAAACACTCAGATCGTGATTAGGGAGTCAAAATTAATGGACTCACTGATGGAACATCTGCATATGTTTCAAATATCTGCAAGTTCACGATTTGTTCTTGATCGGTCTGAAAGGATATATATGATACGTACAGGAGCCGAACTCGCTGTCCATTTCCGATGGACTGACCAGCTTCTTGCTGTGCCTTTTACCATCATAACTTCGCTTGAGGTACAATAAAGGCCACAGCTCATCTAAAATAACCACTCAGACGGACGGAATTTATTTCAGAAATCAGTTAAAGTAACTCAGTTAATTGCGTGTAATTGTGTGGAGCTGAGACATCC